GCCGAGGCTGGTCCTTACCTTAGAGACAGTCATGCAGAAAGTTCGCAGGGAAAAGTGAGCAAGCTCTCTGGACAGCGTGGGAAGAAGCGGGGGGGACGCGCGCCCCCCCCCGCACACGCACACACGATTGGGGGGAGAAGGGGGGAGACTGAAGGCGCGCTGCGGGCGGCGGTGCCGGAGAGAAGCCGGAGCCGTGGCGCGATTTTCCCTGCAGAGGAATCGGCGTCAGTGGTTACAGGAAGAGCGAAGGAAAGGACTACTCACACATATTTGGGTTTGGATACTGACGGCAAATCCTAAGAAATTACATTATGTTGTTCTCCTCTATCTAGGTCAAAATTGCCTATTAAGTAGTACCCTTATGGAAAGTGATAACAATTTATTTTTCATTGAATTATGGGAATTATAAACCAAATGATGAAGGGAAACATCAATTAACATTAATGTGTTTTGCCTATTCCATCGCTTGGGATAAATCAATCATTCAGTCTTTGAAAAATGGAATTTCAGAGGCAGAAACTAACAGGTTTTTTGAAGGGAAAGGATACAGTCCAGGTATATGAACAAAGTATGTGTTTCCTATAACTTGCTAGCTGCCTTCTAGGTCTCAGAATGCTGTGATTATATAAAAGGATGCATATACTATATGTGTGCATTCGATATATACTATGGAATGCATAGTAGGTGGAAAACTCCCAGCCGGGTTTAGCTGATTGCTCAGTTCTATCCTGATTGCAGCCTGTGTAAAATGCACCTTCCCAAGGACAGCGGCGTTCGGGCTCCCCGTGGGCCGATGCCGCGGCCACAGCTGCTCGTCTGCTGTCTCCAGGCGGGGCCGGAGAAGCCGGAGGCCCCGGGCGACTGCCGAGGCCGGACGCCAGCCCTGACCCACGACGCCGGGTTGTGTGGCCCCGACAGGCTTGCTTTGCTCCCTGCCAGACTGGCGTGCCTGAGCGAACCCCGGGCAGGTCTGAAGACGAGCCCAGCGAGAGCACTTCCACCACGTGGAGGAGGTCCTCCTAGGCCTTTCCGCGGAGGAGTCACTCGCGTGGGCAGTCCTCCCGCCCTTCTTTAACCTGCTTCCCGGGAGGGCCCTCGCCTGCTGGCCCTTCGAGACGGCTTCGGAATGGGCCAAAAGCAGGGAAAGGCGGTTGGAAGGACGCAGGAGATTGGGGCTTGACATGGTTTCTGTCTAAGAAGTGATTGCTCCTCAATGTAGTTCACTGTAGAGTTGGCCACGTCTGTAAGTCATTGTTCTAAAATGCATACTATTATTTTATGAGATTTATGTGGGTATTTCTCTTTCATCAGTACTTCTCTTTCACCTATGAACAGGAAATAAAAGCAAACAAGAATATGCAATTTGAAGAATGTTAAATTTGTACTGGCATTTTGGTCTGTGGACTGAAAAAAGTGCTGAATTCGGTATTGACATAAAAATCAGCATATTTCCAGCAGTAATCCCAAGATCGAAGACCATTCCTGCTTGCCTGCTTTTGTACCACCTCTTCTGATTTAGAAGTCTGTTGATATGAAATCTTACACATATTTCTGTGGCTTTTGTTGTTAGCTCAATAAATGTAATGCCCCAGTATGGGTTTTGGAATGTTTTTTACAGACAGCACATTGATCTCTGCTTTTTTTAAAAAAAAGCTTTGTATAGTGCCTTTAATGGAAGCCTAATGTGTGCATCCTGCCAACCTATCAGTTCGAAATCACATAAGAATGTGAGTAGATAAATAGGTACCACCTTGGTGAGAAGGTAACAGCGTTCTGTGTCTAGTCGCGCTGGCCGCGTGACCATGGAAGATTGTCTTCGGACAAACACCGGCTCTATGGCTTGGAAACATGGATGAGCACCGCCCCCTAGAGTCGAACACGACTGGACTAAATGTCAAGGGAAACCTTTACCTTTACCTTTAATGTGTACAACCTGGCAGGTGAAGCTTCTTGAAGATTGAGAGGAATACAGTCTTCAACCAAGGTAGGCATCCATTGCTGTGTGTAATTAACAGATGGGCAATCTGCCAGCCACGACATATCAGGAAATCTGGGACCTTTGGGCCAAAACTATATGGGCAGTAGCCCTGTTTGAGCACCCCATATGACATTGAAAACCACTTCCAGAGATCAGTTTTTCAAATGAAAAATCCAGAGTTCTGTTTTCAATAATTGTAGTAGTAGTAGTGAATGTAATGGTAGTGCAGTATGATTAATTTGATACATTTGGAAGACACTGGGGGGGGGAAGGAGTAGTATTGGTCACTTTCCAGCAGAGAGGAAAAGGTCTCATGCAGACTCCATACACATCCAGCGTCTGCTTCCCTAGTCACACCAGTTCTAATGGCACTGCTGCACTGGCTTGTAGCAAAGCTGAGAGCTTTAGCCCTGACAAAATGAACAGGTTTCCTTCTAATGAGAGAAAAAGAGCTGCAAGTTCATACAGATCAGTGCTGACATCTTGGTGCCCTCCCTGTGCAATGCAGATGACCCCTTGTTCTAATCTGTCAGGATTTTTCTCATGTTCGGCATGAAAGGAGGTAGCAGGATATTGAACAAAACCAATCCCCCGCTTGCTTTAACAGTGGCTTTCTTGAGTTCTGTTCTCATTTATGTGTTTGTGGGAGACTCAAACATCCAGGCCAAATCTGCAAGCAGAGCACTTGCGAGGCAGGAAGATGAGCAAAAACTGTATCTACACATCAGAAAAATGCCATGTCAAAGGGCATTGAGAGGCTTTCAAATTAACCCTATGCAGCATACATCTTTCCCTTTGTTCTGTAGTTAATATATCGTTTAGAAAACAGAACCTCACATTACTCAGAAGGTGAAAAAAAAAACTCTTGAAACAGCCATTTTAATCTGGAGGGGGGTAATGTCAGGCAAACCAATAGAAGTGACTACAGATTGAGGAACGAATAAAAAAGGCCACCCAGCTCCAGTCCATGTTTGGGCTCATTGTTTGTGCCAGTTTTGGAACAAAATTGTTCTTTGTTGCATTCTATTGGGGAAGACAGTTCCACTGGGGAAATGTGATGCATAGTGTTCTGGAAGAGACATGGTAAAATAGAATTACTTGACTGGCAGTGCCTTGCAGAATATTGGAAGGATTGATGGCCAGCAAAGCAGCTCTGGGCCAAAACAGCTTCCATGAAGTGTGTTGATACAGAAGACTTTCTATTTATTGTTAATATGTTATTTAAGGCTGTGCCTGTAGCAGTCAGAGAATTAATGCTCTTGGAAGCTTACAGTAAAAATAGACCCCCACAAAAAATAAAGTGAGACAAAAGGGGAGAAATAAATTATGTTTTCTCTTGAATAAAAGTTCGTACAAATTCGAAAGACAGTGAAATTGGCTAATACACAGAAATTCCCATTTCAACAAATATTTTCCTTTTCCTCCTATTGAAATATGAAAAATGTATCTTTTAGGGTTTTTTACACATTTGGAATGCGCAATCCATTACTGTGATATGAACATTATTAGGATAATTTTTTTCTTAAGTCAACAAAATAGATGCAAAAATGTATACGAACTTTTGAGATGAGAGGTCTTCTTTGGACTTCTCAGAGAAAGAGTCAGGCTTTGCCTTTGATGTAGTCTGCTTTTTGTAATACCTTTCCTTATTTAAAAAAATATTATCTTTTATTAAATTTAATTTGTTTACATACCAAAAAAGAACACCAAACCAAAACAATCATGCCATCTCATTAAATTTATTAATCTTTATCCCTCCTTTTTAGAACTTAATTTCAGATGTCAGTTGATTGTTAATTGCAATATTCCAGATTTCATTATACCATTCATGTGGTTGAAAAATCCAGTTCTTCTTCTACTTTTTTGCTACAAGTAATTATGCAGCTGTTATATTTATAATCATCTCTTTCTTTGAGTTATTTGTTATGATTATCTATTAACAATAATAATGCTGTTCTTGACGATGCTTCAATGTTTACTTCCAATATTTCTCTAATTTCTTTCAAAATTTCCTTCCAAACCCTTTGCATTATTTCACATTCCGATCATACAGTATATCACAGAAGTGAGTATACCCCCTCACATTTCATAAATAGTTTAGTATATCTTTTCATGTGACAATACTGAAGAAATGACACTTGGCTACAATGTAAATCAGTAAGCCTACAGCTTGTATAGCAGTGTAAATGTGCTGTCCCCTCAAAGTAACGCAACACACAGCCATTAATGTCTAAACCGCTGGCAACAAAAGTGACTATACTCTTAGGTGACAATGTCCAAATTGGGCCCAAGTAGCTGTTTTCCCTCCTTGGTGTCTTGAGACCCGTTAGTATCACAAGTCTCATGTGTGAAGAGAGTGCAGATGTTATTGCTCTCAGTCAGACTGGTCACTGGAAATTCCACATGGCACATCACGGTAATGAACTATCTGAGGATGTGAAAAAATGAATTGTTGCTCTACATAAAGATGGCCTAGGCAGACAGACAAAAAAACTTTATTGGCATAAATAAAATAAAACATAACCAAACTGGATCATTAAGTGTCTCACACATACAAAATCCAGAAGGTAGGAAAGCAGAAGACCAATCCCTTCAAAGACATTTAATTGAGAGCGAGGCTTCGCTTTCTCACAATTGAGCTGATGAAATCTGCAATTCTTTCCAGAATGTCAGGCACCTCCACAGATAACATAAAACGGACTTTGTCCACGTCAGATTTTCCCTCCAGTTTAACAGGACCAGTGCCACAAATTTGGAATGATCACTCTGGTGGAGTGGACAGTGCCGAAATATGTGGGCAAGAGTTTCCAGTGCACCCTGTTTGCATGAGCAATGTCTTTCAAGTTACGGGATTCCTTTGAACCTACTATATAGTAAGGCTGCAAGCATGACATTGCATCTGGCTAGGGAGAATGACCCACGTTTTTATGGACACTTGAGCAGAGAAAGGAAGGCAGCTGGTTTTTCAGTCTTAAAGGGAATGTGGGAAAACAGTGGTGAGCAGGTCTTATTGGCTGCATTCCGTAGTCCCTGGAATTCGATGTTCAAAATTCTTCTTTTCATCATTTGGAAGGCTTGCCCTTGATTTAGTGAGCCCAGCTAGTCACTATCTAAGCCAATCCATTTCAGTTTTTATAAAAAGGGAGTAAACCCAAAGGGAGATTTAGAGTCCAGTAATAGTTGATATAATAAACTATCTGGATCAGAGTTGTAGAAAAGTTTTAGCCAGAATTGAAATGATCTTAGCCAAGCCATTGTTTCCAAAGA